GGCGGCGCCTGCGCGCCCCTTATATACCGGGCACGCCCCGCAGCTTCCGGCCACGCCCCGCAACTTCCGGCGGCGCTCCGGGAGGACTCGCTCTCGCCGCCCCGGCCCGCCGCGCTCGGCGGATGTTGCCCCTCCCCCGGAAGCGGCCCCGGCGCCGCGCGTCGCTGCGCGGGGAGCTGCCGGCGCCGCTTCCGGGTTATCGAGACGGCGGTGGCCCCCCTTGCCACCGCATCCGGCACGGGAGCCAATGAGGGAAGACTGAGGCGGTGCGCATGCGCAGTCCGCCGGGCCGCTGTTGCCTACGGGAGCGATCATAGAGTTCTGCACATGCGCAGCGCGCGGCCGCGCCGCCATTTTGTGACCCGCTCGCGCCGTCAAGGGCGGGCTAGGAGTTCTGCGCATGCGCACAGCCTGCCCTTTCCTCGCCGAGGGACGCTCCATCTTCCCCCGGCTGCACCATAGAGTGTCAGTCCTCCGCGCCTCACGTGGGTGGCTCTCTGTGAGCCCATTGGCCTGGACGAGGCTGGGGCGTGACGTGGGCGCGTATATTTGCATACCGTAGCTCGTTTGCATAAAAGGCACAGGCGCTGCCGTACTTGCATACACCGGGCTCAGAAACGCGAAGGCCACGGCTATAGGCTCGCCCCACCCCTATGTATATTGGACCCCAACGTATAGACCCCTCAATGCACAGGATCCGCCCCATACATTTACATCTCCTCCCTGCTCTGACCCTCTAATATATAAGGGAAAACGATAGCTGGGGGCCCTCAACCCCCACAAGCTCTGTCCCCTTCCGGGTCTCGAGCTATGGGCCCTAACCCCTCTCTCTATATATATATAAATAAAATAAATGTGTGTGCGTGTGTGTGTACAGATATATAAGGGACAACCTATACATGCAGGGGACCCCCCACCTGAGGCCCCATTAAGAGAACAAGATGAAGCAGAACAAGGTGAAGATTTCAATGCCCAAAGCGGGGCTTTTACCTCAAAAAGGAGACACAAGCGACAGCTTTTACCTCAAAAATGTCCCATAGCAGGGCTTTTTCTCTCAAAAAATGTGCCTTAGCAGGGCATTTTCCGTCAAAAACAGATCCAAATGACAATTTCTTCCCTCATAAAGATGCCCAAAGTGGGTTTTTTCCCTCAAAAAGTAAAATAAATGACTTTTTTTTTTTTTTTAAGTGCCATAGCAGGGCATTTTTCCTCAAAAAGATACCCAAAGTGGGGCTTTTTCCTCAAAAAGAGACTTAAAGGACAGCTTGTTTTGTTGAGTGTTGTAGCAGAGCCTTTTCCTTCAAAGAGAGACCTAAATGTCAGATTTTCCCTCAAAAAGAAAAAAGGTCATAGTAGGGCATTTTCCTTCAAGAAGTTGCCCAAAGTGGGACTTTCCTCTCAAAAAAAGACCAAACCTACAGTTTTTCTCTAAAAAAAAAGTGCCATAGCAGGACATTTTTCCTCACAAAGATGCCCAAAGTGGATGTTTTCCCTAAAAAAATAAAAAAAATAAAAACAATAATAATAATAAAAAAAAAGCCATGGCAGGAATTGTTGCTCAAAGAGAGACCCAAATTGTATTTTTCCCCTCAAAAAAAGTCTCATAGTGGGACTTTTTTCCTCATAAAGATGCCCAAAGTGGGGCTTTTCCCTCAAAAAGAGAACCAAATGGCACCTTTTCCCTTCAAAACACTGTCATAGCAGGGTCTACTCCCTCAAAAAGTTGCTCAAAGTGAGCCTTTTCCCTCAGAAAAATGTCATAGCAAGGCATTTTCCCTCAAAAAGATGCCCAAAGTGGGGCTTTTCTCTCAAATTGAGACCTAAAAGACATTTTTGCCCACAAAAAATGTCCCATAGCAGCGCTTTTGTCCTCAAAAAGAGGCCCAAAGTGGGGCTTTTCCTGCAAAGAGACCCCCAAATGACATTTTTTTCCCTCCAAAAAAGTGACATAGCAGGGTATTTTCCCTCAAAAAGGTGCCTGAAGTTGGGCTTTTCCCTCAAAAAGCAGACCAAAAGGACATTTTTTTTCCCTCAAAAAAGTGCCATAGAAAGGCATTTTCCCCTCAAAAAAAAAAATGTCCAAAATGAGTCTTTTCTCTCAAAAAAGGGACCCAAATCACAGATTTTCCCTAAAAAAAGTGCCACACCAGGGCATTTTGTCCTCAAATAGTGTAACAGTAGGGCATTTTCCCTCAGAAAGAGGACCAAAGCAGGGTTTTTCCCTCAAAAAGGAGACCAAAATGACGGATTTTCCCTCGGAAAATTCCCATAGCAACATCATTTATCTCAAAAAAGTCCCATTGTGGGGCCTTTTCCCTCAGAAAGATCCCAAAAATGGGGCTTTTACCTTAAAAACGAAAACCAAATGACAGTTTTTCCCTCAAACAAGTCCCATTGCGGGGCTTTTATCCTCGGAAAGATGTCCAAACTGGGTCTTTTCCCTCAGAAAGAGACCCAAACAACAATCTTTTCCTCAAAAACATGCCCAAAGTGGGGCTTTTCCCTCAAAAAGAGACCTAAACAACACTTTTTTTTAACCAAAAAAAAAAAAAAAAAAAAGTGCGGTAGCAGAGCCCTTTCCCTCAAGAAGAGACCCAAATGACAATCTTTCCCTCAAAGAGTTGCCCAAAGTGGGGCTTTTCTCTCATAAAAGGAACACAAACCACAGATTTCCCCTCAAAAAAAAGTGTCATAAAATGGCTTTTGTCCTCAAAAGAGACCCAAGTGACAGTTTTTCCCTCAGAAAAAGTGTCATAGCAGGCGCTTTTTCCCTCAAACAGTCGCCCAAAGTGGGGATTTTCCCTCAAAAAAGGGACCTAAACTACAGATTTTCCCTCAAAAAAGTCCCATAGTGGGGCCTTTTCCCTCAAGAAGAGACCTGAATGACACTTTTTTCCTCAAAAAATAGTGCCATAGCAGGGCATCCTCCCTCACAAAGATTACCAAAGTGAGCATTTTCCCTCGAAAAAGTGCCATAGTAGGAACTGTTGCTGAAAGAGAGACCCAAGTGAATTTTTTCCCCTCAAAAAAAAACCCATAGCTCAAAAAAATCCTCAGAAAGATGTCCAAGGAGGGGCTTTTCCCTCAAAAAAGGCAATTGTAGGGCATTTTCCATCAAAAAGAGATCCAAATGACAATTTTCCCTCACAAAGATGCTCAAGGTGGTTCTTTTCCCTCAAAAAGAAGTGAACCAAAGGACATTTTTTTTTTTTTTCAAAAACAAACTGCACAGATAGTCCTTTTCCCTCCAAAAGATTCTCTTTCCCTCAAAAAGCAGAGCCAAATGACAGTTTTTCCCTCAAAAAAAGCCCCACAACAGAGCCTTTTCCCTCAAAACAGGGTTTCAAATGAGGTTTTCCCTCACGAGAGTCCCCTCTTGAGGGAAATGAGACCTTTTTTCCTTCACGAACCGTCCCCCGGCGGCGCCGTTTCCCTCAGTGCCAGCCCCAGCGCGGTGCCTACCGGCCTTGCTGCAGTCCACCGTGAAGGAATTCTTCTGGCCCACGAAGGCCTTGCTGAGCCCCAGCCCCTTGGCCAGCACCTTGGGGTGTCAGCGCTGGGTGACACCCCCACTCCAATAGTCCTGTTAAAAAAGATAAATTAAAATAACTAAATAAAAAAAAAGTGGGGGGGCAGGGGAGGAGGAGAGAGATACATGATGGAAGCGGCAGAAAGGGGGGGTCCCTCCCTGAT